CGGGGCCGGTCTCGCTCCGCCCGTGGGGACGGGAGGGCGGGACGGCGGCCCGCCCGGGAGAGCCGGCTCTAGCACGGCCTGCAGCGGGTCAGTCCTCTTCTAGTCGGGCAGTAACAACAGGAAATAAAATTGTTTGGAAAGCAGCGGCTTAGCCTGTGGAGTGAAAGAACCCCTTCTAAAAATTCGAATTTTGTTTAATGGAGAGTTCGGGAAACTTGAAGATACACATAATTACAAAAATAGAGGCTTTTTTTTTACTTTTTGTAAGCAAATGCGAGCACATTTTTCCTACTTCAACATAAAACTTGAATTTTCCTTCTGTCACATAACTTGAAAAACCAGAAAATTAACTGCTATAATGGGATCTTCCTTTTCAATGCTTCAAAAACTTCAAAAATCTTCCACTGTTTCCTCAATGGGATCTCAACAGTGGGAGCTGATGGACAAGACTTGAAAATACTCAGTACAGTGCAAGAGGTTAAAAGCCCTGTATAAAATCAGGTTCTTTTCTTGCCTAAATCCTTCAGTTTGGTAGTAGTTTCGGTGTGCCCATTTTGAAAGTCTTTTCTGAAAATTACTTTCAACTACAAGTTTAATACACAGTTGTAAAAGGTTTCTTATAGTAGAAGTAAAGACCTGTTTGGCAGTTCTCAGTTTCAGAAATAATGTTAATAAACCTCATAGCTTTTGTGGAAGTCTAAAATTTGTATTTAATCCATATCTCTTCTGTAGCTGTAGAATAAATGCTATTGCAAAATACCTTTTTTCAGTCTAAGGCTTCAGAAATAACGACTGCATTTCGTTTCTCTTGAGGCAGAACAGTTCAGTTGGAAGGGAAGTGCAGTGATCATCTAGCCCAACAGTATGTTTTTCTGGCATAAAAGAAAAGAGTTATGCCTACTGTATGACCTCACACAAATGTAATTCAGACACAGCATTGCAAACTCTGGTTGAACACACATGCCACAATGGCTGGTAAAGTCACATACGTAAAATATAATTATGGAAGTGGCATCACTTCCAAAACCAAAAGACTGCCACTTGATTCAAGGAGAACCTCTACTAATTTGCTGTAAGAGGTGGTTGGATCTTCAGCGTCAAGCAAGAAGTGACGGAGAACAGGATTTTCTGGTTCTGACATTTGAGTCATTTCCACTTTTTACAGATTATGCTACGCAATCATCAAGAGAGAGCCCTTTTCCTGAGGTCAATGGGCGTGAGCTATCTGGCACACGTATTCAGATGGATCTTCTCTAATATTCACTGGAACACAGGGAAAAACATTTTTGGGTTTCATGCTGACCTCATTTTTTAGGTTAACCATAATCAGGGAACCATATTAAATCAGCCAGGACACAAAGATGACAAACTTTAGAGCTGTCAATAAAAGGAACTTACTTCCTACTCCAAGATAACAACTATGTAATCTAGATTTTCTTTTCTAAAATAAAGTGAACTATGTACAGGTAATGAGATGCTATTGTTTAGACATAATAGTTGTAATGTAGTAAAAAAAGCTCCTGTAAAAGATTTCAGTCCTTGATATACTTAAGATTGATTGGAGAAGTTTGGTCCAATAATGAGCGAAAGCAAACTGTAATAATAAAAGAAATATCCAGGAGGATGAGGAAAAGAATATCCATGAAGATATGTGAGAGGAAATGGCATTCAGTAGTTTTAAAATTAAAATCAGATGGATAATTCATTACATTAAACGAATGGTAATTTAAATCCAGTCTCTCAGAAGTGCTGGTTGCAGCCACGTTCTTCACAGGTGGCATACCTGACCGAAAATTATCATCACGAGAAGTCTCAGCAGAAAAATCAATGGCATAAAGTTATAAAAATGTCCTTTTCCAAATCTGGTAAAGGTCTCTCTGAGGTATCACAGAAGAAAGGGAAGAGCTGGCCATTCAGTTTAAAAGAAAAAGCATTCAAATTCTTTTAAACTGCAAAGATCATCCATCGACTCTCAAAACTGACAAAAGAGATTAAAAACCTCAAAAGCATCAGTGTCCATATTTGTCTGAAATATCAAGTCTCTGCAGGAAAAAAAAATTTAACATAACGTTTATTTTAGAAGACTGATTGATTAATTTGATCAATCACTACACAATCTGTAATTTCCCTTAACTGGTTTTCATTCCTGCATCTTGAATACCCACAGGAAACTTCTTTTCTTCTGGCAGTAATTCTTGAAGTAAATTGTCCTCATTTGCCACTGAGATCTGAATTTCAGTTTCTTTTTTCAAGGGGTTTTCTTCTTTTGAAAAGGGAATTTTTTCCCCTGCTGGGGAATAATAGGGAGCATTTCCATAATCCATACTCGTTGAACTAGTCTGTTCTGGGAATTGGGAACTGCAGTCTGGACTGCATACTTTAACAATACAAGTCACATTCACCTGCGTTCCTCCGTTGCCAGAATGTTCTGTCAAATGAACAGAAAACACATTAAACATGGAAGAATGAAACTCAGAACAAGACAGCTGGGTCTTTATCCAGTTCTTTGACTTAAAGTTAAAACAGACACTAAATATCTTCTTGCTTCACTTAATTTAGGTAAGCTGGTGGAGTTGTGTAACATTTTAGGGTTTTTTGGGTACCATAAAATCCACACGTCATCCCAGAAATAAAAAAGCCACGAAAATTAATACAGAGCCCTGGCTCACAGCCAACTCCCTGGCCATCTATTGCCATTTCAGATGGTTTGTTCTTACTGCTCCCTTTGGCTCTTACTCCCACTCACAGGTAAGTGCCTACCATCACACTGATCCTCCAGTCTGCAAATAACTTTTTCTGCCTTGAGCACACTCTTTACTGTCGCAGGCTGATGACTTAAAACAATCGTTTCTTCTTTTCAAAAGTTACTCTCTCTGCTGAACATGGGTCTGCTGTTTTATCTTGCCATTTAAACTTCTGCTAAAAAGACTCATCGTTGATAACTGAATTTCTAATTGAATTGATAATCGAATTTCGAATTGATAATCGAATTCATAATATCAAATTGATAATCGAATTCCACTGAGATCTGAATTTCAGTTTCTTTTTTCAAGGGGTTTTCTTCTTTTGAAAGGGAATTTTTCCCCTGTTGGGGAATAATTAGGGAGCATTTCCATAATCCATACCGGTTGAACTAGTCTGCTCTGGACTAGAACAGACTAGAGGTTCTGGATCATTCTGATACATTCTTACCTGAATTTGCAGAGTTGTGTCTGTCTCCACTCTGAAGCTTACAACCTTCTGCAGCTGAATGTTGCTGCTGAAATCCTTCTGTTTCTTTCTTTTCATTGTTCTTGTTACTTATTACACTGACTCTTGCAGATCCAGCTGGTTTATTCAGGGAGCTACTGCTGGACCCAGAAGTTTCCAAGAGATGCTGTTCCTCCTGTTCAGAACTGCTGGAGTTTTGCGATCCTGTATCCCTTACCTTTTTGTCACACTGCTTTTCCGTAGGGGAACAAGGCTGGAACATTTGCAAAACATTAATCTTTTTAAAACATTAACACAAACCTGGTCAGTACTTAGGCAGCTAAAGAAACCACTGATAATTGTCATTTGCATAGTGATGACTGGAAGTAAAATTCATACCAGCTCATTACGCATTCAACAAAATGAACCTCTCTCCTGAAGGCACCTACAGTACTTCCCTGATTCCCTAGGGAACACAGGCGCTAAAATCTGGTCTTCTGAACCACTCCTCTCTTTTACTGCTAACACAGCCCAGAACAAAATGAGGATGGTACTGTGTGTAGGTTATGTAAAGTACATCTTACACTCAAACTGGGGGACTAAACCACCCCATTCTCACTCCAGTTGTCTTTCTGCTGTGCAGCTTTCTGCTGCTTATAATTAGATGAGACTGCATAATTTCTATATAACTTTTAAAGAAACGGAAAAGATGGAAAGGAAGGAGTGACGCTCACCGAATCCACTTCTGTAGTCGGTGGAGAATACACAGGGGCTGCAAGTGAGAAAAGGCAGAACTAGCACCTAAATTTGTTTCAGTTGCAAAAGCTGCTCTCTTAACTAGTCTGAATGATATCCTTTGCTCCTGGAATAAACTCCAAATGTACATTTATTACACGTTTTTTTTTAAGTTTTTGAAAGCTATATTGTATTAATTTTATAAGATGACTTAAATTTAGCCAGCAAGCAAGGAGGACCCTCTGCAGGAATTAGTAATTTTCTAGTATAGTGTCAGTGAGAAAAAGTATTCCTGACAATAAACTATGGTTGTGACTGTTTAATGATAACATTTGATAATGTCCAATATTTAAATGATGAAGTACAAAATATTTTACAAGCTCCAGTAGGAGCACAACTGTTGTACAGTTGTCAAACTCCACTGGGATGTTGTATGTTTAGACAATTATCTAAAATCTGAGGAACAAGAGAGATTTGAATGGGACATTTGCCTCACTGTATCTCTGCATGGAGATTAATTTCACCCCATCCGATCTAATAAAGATACTTTTACTCTAAATACATATGGAATTCCTGGAGTATTTTTTTAAATACTATTATTCTGTAGCCACGAAGCTTATGCAATCAACTGATCTGCATGAGTTTTCTCTTAGTCTCTCTTCTAGTGACCTTTGAACCCTTTGGCCAATTTCACCCCAGTATAACAGGGGAATGGGCAAAAGCTCCACAGGGTTTCATGAAGCTATAGATTCCCAGCTAGTGAGGTAGAAACCTGTAAATCATTGCCTCCTCCCCTTGGAAAAAAAAAATAAATTCATACATTATTAGACACCAAAGAATCACCAAAGAAATGTTAATGATACTTCATCCATTTCTAGCCATTTCCAAAGAGAGGTAGTACCTTCTAAGACGCTAATGTCAGTCAACCACTAGGCTCAAATTAGTAGGAAATAAAGTGACACAATATTTACAGATCTGCTTGTTCTCACTTCATGAATCTTACCTTTTTTTTTGGAGACTAAGCAACATCCCAGAATAGTGATTATCAGGACCAATAACAATGATCCTGCTACTGATCCTGAAAATAAATTAAAAAGATAAATTATTTAGCAAGTTGATCTGACAAAGGATCTGATTAGAAAGAGGTAGTTTTGTAGTTTCAGTCCATGTCTACAAAAGCTAAATTTACAGTATCAGGTGTGTCTGACATTCACATTTGATGCCTCTATTGTCAGATATCAAGGTCTTATTTCAGTCTCCATCACTTCATAAATCTGAATTTTCCTGTCCTGAAAAGCGAGGACAGACTTTTAGCCTCAGTCACAAAAGATACCTCTCTAGGCTAGCAACAGTTTGTTCAATACAAGGCCAGGCAGTCCAGAACGCTCCTAAACATACATGCCTTCTGGACAGGTTGTGAACAGCAGAGAATACATCCACACTTGTGAAGTACAGACTTCCTGCCTCAGGAAAGGCTGCCAGAAGTCTCCAAAGACCTCTCACCAGGAGGTTTATGAAGTCAAGCTTGCCTTGAGGTTCAGGATCTAAGATACAACCTTTTCTACCTGCTCCTTCTTAGTAGCAATTCTCAGGAAACACCTTCTATAATCTAGTTTCGGGATTTTTAGAAATATTTCCAGAATTACAAGGACTGTAGAATTCATGGGGGTAGTACAGATGCTTAGGTAAATATTACAGAACTCACTACAAGCAGTGTCATACTGAATTCATTCAGCTGTTCTGAGGTTCTGCTTGGGTACAGGTAATTGGTCTTGGAAAGAAACTGAGAACTAAATATAAACCTACTTCCCAGCCAGCCAAAAATGACTTGGAATGAGATAATAGCTCACCAATGATGTGAGACATGTCAGGTACAGAGTTTAACATGACAGGTCGAGTCACTATTTCGGGTTTGTTGTAAGCCAAGCTTTGGGTCAGGAACAGGTTCGAAATAGTGTGAGGTAGAACTGTGGCAAGTGCTGTTCCTGAGTCGCTGCAAACAGTGTCATTTATGCGGTTTCCAGGAACAGCCACTGACTTACAACTGCAAGAAACAAAAAGAGAAGTTAAGAAAGAAAGCAACCCCATGCACAGTTAAGGTTGCTATTAGACAGAAACACTGGCTTACACTGTATGTGGTACACAGTTGGTATCGTAAGATTCCTCACGTGAACAAGTGCCAGGAGGACAAGGTTTACATTCTGTATCTGTACTATCTGTCCCTTTAAACAGACAGAGAAACTCCAGTTAGTCATCTAGCGAGAAACAAGAATGAATAGTCACGGTCTGCGGTACAGATCCTGGAAGTGATACAGAGGCAGTACACAAAACAAAGACCTTAACTGTCACAGAAGAGATTAATTTGAAACACCCAGCCCAAACGCAACTCAGAAGATACAGGCTATGAGTCTGGTGCCCTTGAAAGGCAGTCTTTTTCAAAGACTGTAAAAACCCACCAAAAGGTTAACACGTGGTACCGCAGAGCTGAGCTTTTCTGCTGTCCCTGACAGGCTGACCACCCATTCCATTCTGTTGTAGTTCTGCATCTTTGCAAATGATTCTTCATTTCTTAAAAATATTCAGTGTTCCACCTCCTTGAATATTATTTATCATCTTGAGATAGTATCAGTAAGATAAATAATTTATTAACACACAAAAAAACATGTATTCATACAGTAAAACTATTTTGTGTGTAGAGTGTTCAGAATTAAATTACCTCTTCTGGAAACTCGGTAACCTTTTCCACATTTTTTATGCACTTTACACATTTTGCAGTACTCGTATATTTTCGAAATGCAGTACTCATTGGGTGGGCAGCTACAGATTCTGTCCTGTGATGTGGTGCATGTTTGATTCTGCACAAATCCTGTTTTTAAAACAAGAATAAAGCAAGATGTCATTAGCAACATTTAAAATCATAGCCTGCAATGTTCCAGGGGAATATGAGGTGATGTTCACATACCACAAACTGAAGACAATTTTGCAGCTTTTGGCTAGTATAACATCATAAACCAAATATGTTATGTCCTCCAACATCTACATTTTCAGAAGTGTTTTCTCTCTCTCTCTAGGAGAGGAGAAATTTGCATCTGTAGAATTCACACTTGGAACTCCATACCTGCAGTTGCATTGTATTGTGTCATATCCATAGACATGCACATTTGTGTTACCTGTGCTCATCACTGCAGTATCTGGGGGCCATACTACGACTTGTAGTCTATGCAGATCATCCAACTGTATTTAAAGTGATTGGAGATCTTACCACAGACATTTTCATACTGTAATTAACCAGCTTTGTAGGATCATCTATTTAGATAAGACCAAAGGTCCTTTGAACAGCTTAGACTGTATCCTTAAAACTTACTTGCCAGCAAGTCAAGTAGATAACTTTCTACATCAGTTTCCATTAGAAATGATGGTGTAAAAAGTATTCATTTGATTCATGTCAATATGGGACAATGGATGTGCAAATAGGTGGCTACAGGTCACCCACAGCCCTCCTAGCTGGGAGGGCTAGGGACATCTGAGCAGTCTGCTCAGTTTTATTGCAGGGTTCTTCCACCACATCTCCTTTATGCTCATCCTTTTGCAGCTCAGAGTATGCGCATGGTTATCAATACACCTTCCACGTACCAGCAACATTCCCCTACAGCCAGTCAGCAGCACCCATGGGATGAATTTCTCTGCCCACATCAGGAACTCCGCTGCAGAGCAGGCTGTGCTCCTTTGCAAAGGACAGTTATTTAGGTTTGAGGCTATTGAGAAAGTTTCCTGTAAAAATATTTGCTGACTGAGTTATTAAAAATAGCAAAAATATGCTCAGTTCCTGTGAGTAACACAGGGACTTGGGCTAGAATCTTTCAGATAATTTCAGCTGAAGGAGAAAAAACAAGAAAAAGTGTCACTCAAGAAGTACTGCTTTGCCAGCTTCTCTCCCTTAAAACCCAAAAAAGTTTTCTTTAACTGATCACTTTTTGAAATTGATATATCAGGCAGGTATTTTCCAGCTGTGTGGCAGATGTGGTATTTCTGAAACTACTGGGTTTGTTTTTCTAATTTATATATGGACTTTTCTTTGGTTCATCACAATGCAAAAAGCGATGCTGAAAATTTCCTTCATGATTTCTACTATTATGTTTAGGTCACATTTAGGGCGAGAGGAGAGTTAATTCCTTTTGAATCAAAGCCCTTTGTGCAGCAAGAAGCATGACAAAACTTTGCACCTAAATTTTAGTGATAAGTTCTGCTACAATTCTGAAACTCTCCCTTCTGTACCTGTTCTACCATATCCACTCCAAGGTGTTCAGTGAATCAGGTTCAAAATACCTTACAAACCAGGTCAGCATTCAAAATGAGCACAAAGCAGTTACAAAAACTAATTTAACATATTATCAACCCACTCCTTAAAAGACCACTATGTAATTCCAGGTTCAACATACATCCTGACATCCTCACCCAGTTTCACTGAACCTCTGTCCTATCAAGGCTAAATTAATATGATTAAATAAACATGTAAATAACATGCACATCCCACGAAAAAGCAATGACCTGGACATCTCAGCAGCATTTCCGTATTTATCGTCACAATCCAGGACACTTTGAAATCAGCCAGAAAAATGCAATCAATATATCAGTACAGCATGCACACAATCAAAGTCAAATAGCTCTTTGGTTTAAACAGTTTGAAGTCATCAAGCTCTCTGGTCTGAACAGTTAAAAACATGCATTGCCAAATTGTGGTACAGCTGGACAGAAAAGAGAACAGTCACAGCTGCATCACATCAAGTCTTAGATGTAAATTAAAGGGCTTTTCTATGTCAATAGGGAATAGCTTTAGGGATCCAACAGAACACAACAAGCTCTTCCTGTTTAAACAACGGTGTAAAATACATACAGATTTACACTCTGCACTTGCCAGGACACTCACGGTTTTTGCAAGTACTCAAACAAGCTTCAAAAATCAATCTATTTCCAATGAAAATTCAGGAAAAACTATTAGCCATTGCTTTGGGAAGCCAGGAAATAAGAACGATGTAGCCAAAGGGAGCAGAATGAGCTTTAAAGAAGCCGAAGGG